CATGGCTTGATCTTTCACCTCTTCCTTATTATTATATATTCATTTATTTAATATGTTCGTGTCTAATTGTGTTGTTGTAAGGTCTTCACTTTCAGGAAGATCTCCGACATGCATACTGTCATCATCTCGCATTATATAATTATGATATAAGAAGACAAGGTGTACTACTCCAGAGGATGCGCAGTAGAGAGTGAATTTGAGGCCAAAATTTGATTGGCTATTTTAATATGTCAGTGCTATTATACGCAAGAAATCTGATTCCAACTACCTGAAGACGAAGCTAGGTACAATGCATCGCATACTCATTTTGCACGTGTATTGGCTGTGTTTATTTGTATTTTAGAAACATTAAATAAAGTTTTTTAATTGCAATACTGATAACTTTGATGATAACTTTGCGTTTTATTATCGATTTCTTGGGATATCTCATATTAGTAGCACAATTTTTTTTGTAATTTGCTCACTTTTCACATTTCTAATTTATAAGAAAAATAAAATTTGAATTAAATTTTACATAACATTATCTTAAAGCTTATTATTATAAATTTTCTTTAAAATGACCTATTATTTTTTTAAATTCTGTCCACAGATTTCTAGTATTTATCCAAAATAAACTCAGTATCTCATAACAAGCCTTTCCTCTACTAATATATAATTGATCTTTTTATTAAGACAGAATTCAAATTGTGGGTGAAAACGTATGAATTTAATAAATTATTTTAAGACGAATTTAAGATAATTAATTAACATTGCTTAATAATATCTTGATGCATGGATTCAAAATTTATGTTTTTCCTTTTTTGATGATTCATTATTTTGGTAAAATTAATGACATATTGAATAGAAGTGGCGACCTATGTAGAAATGATTAAAAATAAGTCAAATTACATTAATATAATTCGACATTATAAATTTAACAGCCTTATTTTCATGTATGGGAAAGAGGAAAGACTCCTTACAAGTATTTTAGATGAAATTGGGGAATCTCTTAATTTGGTTAATAGTACGAGAATGTATCGCTTCTTTCTTGATAAACATGCAAACCTTAATTTGTAATCGAATATGCGATGCCAATTATACATGAATGTATCTAAATATACGCTAGTGGTGTTGTCCCGGCGATTTCCAACTCAGAAGTTTCCAATGCTTCACAATCGACGGGATGTTGTTCGATCAGCAGGCGTGTACTAATTAAAGTACCTTTAGAGCTATAGCTCTAGCCGCTCCGCTCAGGATCACATATAACACACGCTGTACATGGTGCGCTAAATAATCAGGGATAACGACCATCGTCGATAGATGTTCTCTCGTAAGAGAAAGACATTTCGCGTCGTGTTCCATTATTTCTGAACATCTGAATTGATTGCCTCTTGCCAGATTATTCTAAATATCTATTTTATAAATAAGAATCTAAATTTCTCTTTTGCTAAAAAAGATTATATTTTTAATATCCGTGATTCACACGAGAAAGAGAAAAGAAATACGGTAGACTGAAAGGAGATGTTATATGAAAGTTGAATAGGATTTATTTTCTGTAGAATTGTGTTATCTAATTTATCGTAAATATCACGTTTTATACTTAACTCAATTTTTTATAACTGACTTTTCGAGTTTTCTTAGTTTCAATCATACAGTTTTAAAATTGTAACGAAGATTAAAATGGAAAAAAAATGTATATAAATGTATATAAATGTATATAAACGTATTAGGTTGTTCAAAAAGTTCTGTGGTATATTATTGGTTCAAAATTATACACAGAATATATTCGTTGCAAAATTTTCGACTATTTGACATAAAAGTTTAGTTTTCCCTAAAATTTCGTTTTTAAAAAATATTCCTACGATTCTTTGTCGAGTTACGTTGTTTTAATTAGACGTTTTTTTAAATAAAAGAGCATACTGATTTTGAATATTCATAACTCCATTAAAAATCATCATACAGATTCAAAAATTAGATTCTTGAAATTGAAACTTTGCTCTATCAAATAGTATAATTGCTATTAAAAATGTGTAAAATGTATATAAATTTGAACTAAAAATGTGGCATTACTAACCTTATATAATCACTGCGGTAGAAGAAAAGTAACGTCATATTTTTAGCTCAACTGTATATATTGTATACATTTGATGTATAACAATATATACATATGTATATATGTACAATATATTTTATCTAAAAAAAAACTGGTAATTATACTACTCAAACAATGTTTCAGCTTTAAAGGGATCTTAAAGCCGTCTGTATTACCGACTAAATCATATAATTTTTATATAACAAATACTTTTTTCTCTTTCATAGATTTGAAAATCCTGTTCCAGGATTTAAGTATACGTATTAATATGTGTTTGTGAGGTAGAGTTTATGCCAAGAACGACAAAAAATTTCGAAATTGATATATTTTTTACAATTTCTTAGTGTAACATGGCGTCTCGAGCTGTCAAGTCGTGACAACATTTGCTTGATTCGTAAACTTTTGCAACTTGTACTTACGAAATAGTAATCCACAAACACATAGTTTGCATGAACAATAACGTCGAGTTCTTAGAATTAAACTTAGACGCTTTATCGCAATGAATTTGTTATACGAAAATTGACACGAATGTACAACTGCGTGTATCATAGGTTGCGTGAGATATTGGTGTGGTAGTATATAAAAACATGTCGATGCACGGCGCGCGGCGCGATCTCTGGTGACTTCGTCGGAGTTCGAGCTTCGCTTTAGGATCCCCTTATTTTAAGCCCGTGTCACACTACGCATTGCGGACGCGGATCGGATTGAGATTGCGGATCATTGAATCCGGATTTTCCATTCACAGTACGAATTGCTACGAATTCGATGAGCACGCTGTGGTGACTATGGCACAAAAATACGATTATTATAAACAATATATAAGAAAAAAGTTATCTTTGTTGCTTTTAATTATATATGAATACAAATTAAGTAGACCTAAGCAATATGTGTTTACAAATGGATAGCAAGAAGAAAAGATAAAGGAATGCACCATAATCTTTTTTTAGAACTGTTATTGGAAGATCTTAATCGATTTAAAAGGTTTGTTGTGATTTGTTGCAGTTTACAGAATGTAATCTAAAATAAATAAAATTAAGAAAATACCTAATTTACTTGAAAATTTGTTATATGTTTTAGATGCCTCAGAATGGATGCAAATACTTTTGAACGTCTGTTGATTAAAGTCACTCCTATAATACAAAAGCAAGATACTCATCTTCGAGAAAGCATTTCAGCTGAGGAGAGGCTATCAGTTATTTTACGGCATTTTGCAACAGATAAAGGACAAGAATTTCGACTGTAGGTGCATGCTTTAATTTTGTCATGTGATTAAATTTTTTATATTTTGAAGGAGAAACGCAAGAATCGTTATCTCTCTTATTCAGACTTAGTAGAAATATCAAAAATTATAAAAGAGGAGCAACAGCAATATTTGAAGTTTTAAAAGATGAGTTTCTGCATCCTCATACTGAGTGGCATGCAATGCCAATTATTTCGGAGAGCGACGAATGAATTTCCATCATGTAATAGGTGCAATAGATGGCAAACACTGTGTTATTGATCCCCCACTAAAATCTGGATTCATGTTTTATAATTATAAAGGAGATTACAGTTATACTACTGGCTTTAGTGGATGCTGATTTACGTTTTATTTATTGTATATTGATGTGGGAGCTAAGGGTAGAGTCAATGACTCTGGCGTTTGGAATAAATGTTCCCTCAAAAACCACCTAGATAGGAATGTTTTCAAAATTCCTCCGTCTGTTCCGCTGCCAGGTACAGAAGATAATTTTCCTTTTGTAATTATAGAGGATAAAAGTTTCCCGTTATCAGAAAAACTCTTAATCCCTCATCCAAAACTTTAATGGAAAAAAAGATAAGAATATATTCAATTACAGATATGTAAAATATTTTTTTCAATTCTACATAAAAAATTAAAGTAATATAGAAGTGTTCATTTATTTATATATCTGTAAATTATCTAGAGCTCGTCGCACATCAGAAAATGGATTTGGTACAATGGCTGCCCGTTTCCAAATTTTTCGTTCTCCAATGCGGTATGATTCTGACGATACTTCTAAGATCATCTTAGTTATGTGTTGTTTGCTGCGAAGTCAGTCTGTTGGACGGACTATGTATACACCATCATCATTTTTAGATGAAGAAGATGAAATATCGTCGTAGAGAATGGAGAGCAGAAAACGGAAGAGGCATGGTAAACTTTGCTCACCAAGGTGGCAACTGTCATGCAAATCAAGCAATCTTGCTCAGAGACAGATGGTGTGATTATTTTAATACTGTTGGCGCTATTCCCTTGCAAGAACGAATGATGCAGTGAATTATAGTATTTTTTAACCTACCGGACATATAAATACTTTGATTAGTTAATTATCATATTATATAATTAGATCATATTATATAATTAGATAATTATCGTAAATCTTGTTATTCATAATTTAAGCATTGGTAGTTATTATGTATTCATTTACTTATACATTTACCAGCGAACTGTGAATTGTTAATTAGTCAATCAGATGAAAGTAGCAAAAAATAGGAATCTATATCCTGAGAGATTGTCATATTCGTGCAATGGATAAAAACCTCAGTCAGAATAAGAACATTTAATTCTATCATTTATTTTTTACATTACAAAATAGCGAAGTACATATATATATTAGATAAAAATAACTAAATACATATTAGAGATGTTATTGTCGCATTTTAAAACTTTTTTTTGAGACAGACAAAAATGTTATATCATTTTTATTACAATATAGTACAGTCTCAAATTTAATTAAAAAGAATAGAGAATTCTAATTTTTAACAATAATAAACGTAAATTTTTTCTGTGATAATAATAATCAGATAAATATAAATATATATTAATATATATTGTATAATCATAATTATAGTATAATCCTTAATGTAATATTGTTAATGTCGATATAATAATGAACTTATTGTTATCTTGGCTCATTATTATCTTGGCTCAATCAGTACTCATAGAATCTCCTTTTCATAATATTCTTGATCTTCAGGAATCATTGACCGAAGTCCAGATGCAACGTATGCATTAAACATATCAAATCTATCCATTTTTGGAGGAGATAAGTGTTGTTGAGCTATACTTTTCACAATATCTAGTGCCTCTTCCATAAGGTTATCCCTTTTTTAATTTCTCCGTTTTACATACATCGGGTCCTTAGCAGAACACTGTTTAATATTTAATGGAGCAGATGCAAGCCTAGGTAAAGGAGTAGATCTTCCAGATGAGAAGATGTATTACTTCTTGTTAATAAGGGTTGCCGAACCTTGGAAGATCCAAATGATTCGTTTGGACTAGATGAGACATGTAATTTGGAATGTTCAGATGCTTCTTTGTTTGAATGTGATGTCTTGTCAAGTTTAGATGAATCAAATGGAATTAACATGAATTGCTAAAAATAAAAAATAAATATGTTAAATGGCACTTATAAAAACATTTTTATATTAATACTAAATACTATTATAGAATTAATAAATAAGTAAATGACATTGAAATAAATAAAATGCTATGTAAAAAAGGATTTCTCACTTGTGTGTTTTTATCATAGTGAATGTTTATGTGCACTGATGAATTTTCTACATCACTAGGTCGAGAAATAAGTGAACAATTTGTTTCTTTACTAAGTATAAGAAACTTCATTTTGAAAAGAAAAGTTATCAATAGTGTTGGATTGTGCACAAGTTTTCTTTAAAAATAAGAGTAATTCATAATACTCGTAATCCCACTTTGGTCTGTAAATTTCGTCAGTTCCTTTCCCACTGCAATGAGTCTTTGTAGCCTTTATCTTTCGTTCGTTTGCATAGAAAGTGCTTTGAAATCGTTTGTGAACCATATCTTCTGCGTGAAAAAAAAATAAAACGGAATATTAACGTTAAATAATTTTTATATAATCTCAAAACATAATCCACTATAACTATACATTCAGTAATTAGCTATTCGTGATATATTCATGTTAATAACCTCGTCAAGGATAAATAATAAATCTAAGTACAGTCTTATTTATAAATAACATAGTTAAATTTAATAAATAAGATATATCGAAATACCTGTGAATCTAGGACCTAGAGCTTCCGCTATTTGGTCCCAATGCATTCGTTTTAAATTAGTTCGACGATATTCTGGTAGGCATACATCCTATAATAAAGGACGTTGTCTCACCATTTCGATTAAAATATATTCAATTTCTTTATTGAATAAATCACTTTTGGGACTCATTTTGAAATATACAATAAATGATCTAAACTGATCTAAACTTGACACGAATTGCGCATTACAGATTGTAAAAATAGAGGCTTGCCTATTTCGCGATTCACAATCCGAATCTTTGGCTTCTTCCATGTGATTGGCTGATCGACAATTTGCAACTCGCAATCCAAATCCAATCCGCGTTCACAATTCGTAGCTTAAAGTGATTACGCTGATTACGTGATTACGCTGATTCTACAATGAGTCGGTAATCGGTAGTCCTAAATCTTATCGGTGAAGTTGACCAATAGCCAATATTATACGACTAAGGCTGATTGGCCAACTTCATCGATTAAGACTAAGACTTCCGACTACCGATTCATTGTAGAATCAACATTAAGCCCACATCAAACTACCGATTCTGCAAGCCAACCCGACTGCCAATTCTGACTGTCGATCAATAATGGACCAATCACAAGACTAATTCAATGTGATTGATCCATTATTGGTCGGCAGTTAGAGTGGGCAGTCTAGTCGGCTTGCAGAGTCGGTAGTCTGATACGGACTTTAAGGGGATACTGGAATCGCCTGTATTATCAATAAAGCTATTCCAAATTCGGTAGTAGTGACATCTTTCATGTATTTCTTATACTTATTATATATCGTTTTGTTTCGCTCAAACGCATTTATCTGTCATTATCTAACATATTGTAACGCCATTTCTTAAAAGATCGAATATCTATTATTAGATGCAATTATTGCTTTGTTTACCATTCTGAGTCTTTCCTCAGCATTCGTATACACGATATTTACAGATCGATAAATCTTTCTTTTGAATTTTTAAATCTTAGTTTCATGAACTCAATATTGTTTCACGTCATGCGCTGAATGGTGCAATATCGTGTGGTTTATACGAGTTATAAAACTTTTGTATTAAAGAAACATCTACGTCAAGTGACAATTCTACGAGTTAAAAAAATGTAAGTTTTTAACTTTTTTCCAATTTTCGTATAAAATCTATTGCAGCATTCTCAAATTTTGCGTCTACTTTAATCCTGTAAAAGGATTTTTTATAAATGTTATTCTGCGAAATGCCGACAATTTGGCTACTCCAACATCCCCTTAAGAACCTGTTTTTTAATTACGGTACGATGATTTTTAACATTTATAAGCAATCAAACTCAAGATGCTCCTTTTTACTTAACTTGCGAATAATTCAAGAACAAAAAATTGTAGGAACAAATTTTGAAAAACGATTATGTAGGTAAAACTTTAAATTTTCACGTCAGATAGTCACAAATTTTGCAATGAATATATTCTGTATATAATTTTGAACTAACGAAATATCGCGGAACTTTTTGAACGACCTAATATATCAATTTTGCATGGCTGAACGACCGCACCTTCGGCAAACAGCTCGCGTTTCAGAATAAAAGTTCTATAAAAGCTGTCTTATATCCTTCTCTTCCCTTCTTTCGTGCCGCCACTTCGCGAACCTTCTACTATCGAGGACTTTATCGATGGGTCAGGTTATTCATCGAAATTTCAGGTTCGATCAGGAAACGCGAACAACTTTTCCGTCGTCCTTTTCTGTCGCCCTTTCCCGTCATACAGTCGGATGGGATACACATAAGAGAAACACTACGCTCATGAACCTATGTGGTCAGCTGCGGTAACATGAATGACGAGTGAATTTCACATCGATAGTATGGGATTGGAGATGTAAGAGGATGATGCAGAAAGAATGGAAAGGGAAAGAAAAGCTAGCTTGCATCTTATATCGCTTTGATATCGGTCTTGCTTGATTTTCTTTTCACACTGTTCTCGTCCACCAGAACGCTTCATTTGCAATATATTGTGCGATCAATCTTTAGGAGATATCGAGAGAGCGGTCTGCTGCATTTCAAAAGGGAAGGAGGAGTGACGGAAGAGAGCTGAACCTTCGAGAAAAGCAATATTGATTGACAGGATAGTTTCAATTTCTCGAGAATATATATATATATATATAT